AGAAAATTTTTTTTAAAAAAAAAAAAAAAAAAAAAAGAGAACAACAGTAATACAAAATACCTACAAAAAAAAAAGCTTGCGTTCATTTGACTCAATATTATAAACTTTCAATCTGTTTTATATTTTTGTCTGTTGTCTCAGGGCTGCTCAGAAGCTGAATCTGTCATCCAAACGGAAGAAGCAGCAGCCGCCACTGGTATACTCCCAGGAGCCCTCCATCTACCCCACTAACTTTAGTGCTGTCCTTCAGTTTTCACCTCCACCTGCTCCACCATGTCTGCTCAGGGCGGGGTCAAAGGCCAAGGAGAACCCTGGCATGGGCAAGGTCAGGCACCCACCGCACCACATCAGTGTACTATGACAAACGCTTTCTTCTTTTAACTTACAGGGTTAGTTCACCCAAAAATTAAAATTCTGTCATTAATTACTCACCCTCATGTCGTTTCAAATCCGTAAGACCTTCGTTCATCTTCGGAACACAAATTAAAATATTTTTGATGGAATCTGAGAGCTGTCTGAACCTGCATAGACAGCAATGCAACTGAAATGTTCCCAAATCCAGAAACATAGCAAGGAGATCTGTAAAATAATCCATGTGACATCAGTGGTTCATCCGCAATTATACAAAGCTACGAGAAGACTTTTTGTGCGCAGAATAAAAATAAAAAAACGACTTTATTCAACAAGTCGTCTCCTCCGCATCACCCTGGTGCCATTTTGGAGAATATCAAATGGAAGTAAAAAACGTATGCTATTCTGTGTCAGCTGCGTCACGCCAGATCTGTTTCCTACATTGTTGTGATGTGATCTGAACGGAAACAGCGTATCCGCGTGGCGCAGCTCACACAGAACAGCATACGCTGTTTACGTCCAGCTGATATTCTCCAAAATGGCACCAGGGTGATGCGGAGGAGACGCATTGTTGAATAAAATCGTTTTTTTTTCTTTTGCGCACAAAAAGTATTCTCGTAGCTTCGTATAATTGCGGATGAACCACTGATGTCACATGGATTATTTTACAGATCTCCTTGCTACGTTTCTGGACTTGGGAACATTTCAGTTGCGTTGCTGTCTATGCAGGGTCAGACAGTTCTCAGATTCCATCAAAAATATCTTAAGTTGTGTTCCGAAGATGAACGAAGGTCTTATGGGTTTGAAACGACATGAGGGTGAGTAATTAATGACATAATTTTAATTTTTGGGCGAACTAACACTTTAACCTTTAAGGTTGTTGATTAGGAATTCTCACCATTAGTCTTTTGCAGAATTTTTGCAATACTCCGTATTCATTATCCAGTGGAACCCAAATAGAAAGTGACGGTTATTTTGCTGATTATGAACAGATTGTGTATTTGGGATCTCGGATTGGGATCGTGGCCAAGAGTAGCAAGTTGTTCAGCATCTACACACCACCCCTCCTCATTGTCCAGAGGGTTTGTCTTTAGCACCGTATTACAGTATATATATATATATATATATATATATATAGTGATGGAGAGGATTTGCTCCAGATTAGATGCCACCTGCTCTGAGAGATGATTGTAGAACATCATGCCAGAAGCTGTAGCCCGCTGAAATGATTGATAAGTACCCACTGAGAATGGACTCATTACATCCCAGCCTCGCTAATGAGCTTCCTCTTCCTACAACTGCAAACGCGCATCTGATGCTGCCTGAATGGGCTCCAGTTGTTGGCAGCTTTTGGGAGAACTATAAAAAGCAATGGGCATTAGAATAATGGCCCAGCCGTCTGTAACCATTTTGTTTGCACAATGACCAAATTGTCCAGAAGGATGCAAGACATGTGCTGTAATTCCAGCGGCTGTCACGCTCCAAAAATTGACAAAAACAACATCAAAGGGGATCTTATGACTCTTGCACTCTATTCCAAGTCTTCAGAAACCATGCATTAGATTTGTATGAGGAACAAGCTGAAAATAGCTCCAGTGGAGCTCTGAAATCCCATTCACATATCATTACCGATGTCAATTTGGTGCCATTGGTTCTCACGTGTCTCATGACCAGTTGTGACATGCAAGTTTGAATGGATGCAAATGTGATTGAGTGAATGATGGGGAAGTTTTTTTGTGAAAAATGACAAAGGCCCCAAAAGTTGTGCAAAATTTGTGCATTAATACACCGCAAAGACTATAGCCAACTGGCACATACATTCTGCACCTGCGTGAGAGGAAAAAGCTCTCCATACCAGCAGGTGGCAGTAGTCTGTATTTGTCATTCAAAAATGGAAACTGGAAGATCTATCACTGTAAATATACAAACCATAAAAAAGCAACAGTTTGCTTTATAAATTTTACACCAATCTCGCTCATCAAAGACAGATTTGATGAAAATCATCACACATGAGATGAAGATAAAAAAATAGAAGAGACTTCATTGTGAGCCCTATTGACTTCTTGCTAGCTTTTGTCTCTTCTGTTTTTTTATCTTCTTGTTTCCTGATTCGCTAAGTTAAACAGCCAATCAGAGTGATCTCCCTCACTAACAGGCTCCAGCAATGATTTAACATGCTTAATTGGTTCCAAAGCCGCTGACGGCGGTCTTTAATACGAAACACAACACAAAATCTAGTCTGACTTACAATGAATGCTCATACTTACTTAGACTTTATATTTTTCTCTGTTCCTCATGCAAAGCTATTGTAGATGCCTCAAAACGTACAGAGCACAAGTTGTCAGTAGATTTTGACACATCAAGATAATTACTGTTCGGATTGCCTCAGAAACTTGTGGGACATCATTTCTAGACCCGAGTTTAGGAGGTGTGAAGCCAGCAGCCACGCTAGGGGGATCAAACTCTCCTCATGTATCAAATTGCCAACAAATGTAAAACTCAATGGTTCAACCCAAGCCCACATTTCTGTGGTGTCTGGTCCCATTCGGGGGCCAGCCATATATGGAAGCCTATTTCCAATGTCACGGCCGGCGTAATTCGTTCACCACGTGCACATGTCCATCAGTGTAATCGGCCCCTGTGGAGCGGTGAGGGGGAGTTCACGCCAGGCCGCCGCTGTGGCGCAGGCATGCCGCTTGGCCCCGGGTGCCGTGGAATAGGATCAGCAGTGCAGACATTGTTTCGTAGCACTGGAGCCCGAATGTTGTAATTATATATCTGCTACAAATCACCCGTGGAATACTGTGGCTTTGTGCAGTTCTGAATGCTGTATTAAGGGCATGAGGTTCTCTTACAGTATGTTTGTTTTGCTTTACTGTATTTGCTGCAAATGGTCTTAGCAGTGCACCGTGACGCAACCGTGACAATGTGTGGTATTACAGGCAGTCTATTTGTTAATGGCTGGTTTTGTTAGTTTACTCTGTGTGTGGTCAACAGTGATGATACGATAAAGTTTTTTTTTCCTTGACAGAATGTTCCCTTCCTATTTCAGCTGTTTTACTTATAAAATCAGTTATTGTTGAAACCGTAACAGCTACTCCAGTCAAAAGGCTTTTTTTTTTTAAATATACAGGGTTAATGATATAATCTTTTTCTTTCTTTCTTTCTTTCTTTCTTTCTTTCTTGCCTATTATGTATTTATTTTTTTTAATATATCAAAAATACAAGTAAAATGGACAATGGCTTAAATACACCTCTTCTGTGATTAGCACGTTTTAAATTTCTGAATTAAAATGCATTCTATTATTTTTTGGGGGGAAATAACAGATTAATACAACTGTCCTGATAACATATTGAAGGAGGAGGAAAAATTTATACAAGTGAATATCTTATGTTTATTAATATTTGGAATACTTTTCCTCAAGTCAAAGTCATGTGGTGAAACCAACATTTGTGGGGAAAAAACATGAAATGTCAAAATATTTTGACCTTTTTATAACAAGGTTATGTTAGTTCAGGTTGTAAAATGTCATGTGGTATGACTTACCAAGAATAATGTTTTTTATCAATTATTAATACATTGTTCACTTACATGGTTACACAAGGTATAAGGAAAATATGTAATTAATGTTTACTTCATGGTTACACCAAATGACATTTTACATTACATTTACATGTATAAATTTGGCAGATGCATTATAAAAATAATTTTGAGAGTTGTGGCTCACAAAACTATATGAAACCAACATGAATGCAAAGATTACATTCCAAGAATTCGGCATGTGTTTTAAACTGTTTTCCCTCTGGAATCATGTAAACTCTTTCTTGTCATCGATTTATCAATCACGTTATGTCACCTACAATGTTATATTACAGTGTCAATGGAATTATCTGCTTCTGTTTCTGCTTCAATAGCATTTTTTTCTTTTTGTTCCAGGTCAAAGTGATGATGCGGATCTGTCCATCACTGGGGATTGTGGATTCATCTGAGTCCCTGTCCTTCCTGAAGGTGGACACTCGTAAGAAACAACTGACCCTCTACGATCCCTCTCTCAACACACAGCCCACCTCAGTGCATAGACGAGCAGTGCTGCCCGCCCCAAAGATGTTTGCCTTTGACACTGTTTTTTCCCAAGATGCCTCTCAAGTAAGAGCCGCTGTGAAGATGTTATCATTTTGTTGGCATTTGCTTTTGAGGTTTGAAGTGAAAATATTTTGTTAGTGTCAAAAAGATATTTGAGAAGCACACGCACACATTCTTTGCAGGGCAAGGGGCTTAATGTAAAAAGGCCTGTTTTGGGACACCATCGTTCTTCAAAGTATGAGCCCAACAGCTGTTTCTTTAAGTATAGAAAATAGTTTGAATTCCAGACTCGCATATTTAGCAGCTCATTCACAGTTCATTATCTGTCCTCCAAAGCTGCAGCGGCATCCATCTTAAGATAAGTGGCTAACAAATGGACACAAATAGGGAAGAGGAACCTTAGGAGACTGAGAAACTTGAAGATGATTAAGTGTGAACAATTTAGATATGCCACTTCAAGAGTAATAAGGTTGTCACTTGAAGTACTTATGTAAAGAACCATAAGAAAAGCCAGATATTGTGGCCTGGTTTCACAGACAGGGTTTAGACTAAGCCAGGATTAGGCCATAGTCCAGTTAGGACATTTAAGTAATTTTACAAACGTGCCTTAGAAAAAAACATTACTGGTGCGCATCTTGAGACAAAACAAAGGCACTGATATATTTTAAGTTCAATCAGTGCAAGCTTCTTTCAGTTGAAACAGCCCAGATTTACGTTTTAGTCTGGGACTAGGCTTAAGCCTTGTCTGTGAAACCGGGGCTGTACATTTCTGCTTCAAAATATGTCATAAGCAAAGATAGGCAGGGACATTGTGGTGTCTTCTAAGATAAATAATTTTGGCCAAATTTTAAAAGTCCAAAGTATACATCCTAATTCACAACCAATCAAATATACTTCATTTGACATTATGTCAGTAGAACACGTCAATAAAAAGTTTCAGCCTTGTCCAAGTTGCAAGTATCTCTTAATTCCCCTCACACAACCCTTCTGAATATTAACCATGGTTTTACTACAAATAAAACCAAAGAACCATAGTTAAACCATGATAAACACAAATAAACCATGGTAAACACAAATTACCCATGGTTGTGCTACATTAACTGTAGTTTAACCATGGTATTCGTAGTAAAACTGTGGTTATACAAATGGTCAATACGTAAAAAAACATGGTTACTACGCTTTTACTACAATAAAACAATGGTTAATTTTTGTAAAGGGAAACGTTTGTCAACACAGACATCTTTGTTGTTACTGGAAAATCTGGCTGTATGGCTCTTACTATACTAGTTTTGGTCATCTGAAATTTGTGTACGTGGGAAAACAAAGTATGCATTGGGGTTAAGGTATGCTCTGTGACAAGTATAGTAAAAAAAAATGTTGATTGTCAGTACTTCAGTATTTCATTCTGTACCAAAAAACATTGATACAAATAGTTCAATCTAACTAAACAATTACTATTTTACACAATAGCCTATTTGTGTTAGCTATATGCTTAATGAAGTATCATGTTGTTAGCTTAGCCTTAACATGCTAACAACAAACACTGTTATAGAAACTATTTGAGTTGCTGCCTATAATGTTCCAAATCATTCACTTTTGAGGCTGCATTTTCAGCTGCATGCAGCTCCATATGTGGACAGTGGACAGCAAAGCCATTTACTTTGCTTAGGAACCGAACTGTAATAGAATTTTCAGTTGAAGAACTTGCATGCACAAGACAAGATCTATGGAGCTTATCGATTAGGAGTTCCTTTACTCATGGCCAGCAGAAGGCTTTTAGGTCTCAGTGCTCAGTGCAAGTGAATTGATGTAACTGTAAATCCTCCAAATCTACTGTGTGTGTGGGACTGCAGGGACATATTTCTTAGCAAAGCACTGAGCTGTTGTTCTGTTTTTTGTAAGAATGTGTGTGTGTTATGATGTATGGGAGGAAATTGCTGCAGTTCCAAATTGTCTCCAGGGACTGGGGCTAGTGGAACAGATTGTAGCATTATGGCCACACAGTGCAGCCGGTAAAACCCCCATGACTGATGAATCTGTGATGAGGATCTGCCTTGTTTGTGCTTTCTGTGGTTTTTGCTGCAGTTCCAAATTGTCTCCAGGGACTGGGGCTAGTGGAACAGATTGTAGCATTATGGCCACACAGTGCAGCCGGTGTAAAACCCCCATGACTGATGAATCTGTGATGAGGATCTGCCTTGTTGGTGCTTTCTGTGGTTTTCTTTTGCTAGTGAATAAATCAATGATCACCGGATCAAAGAAAAGATTAGGTACTGTCTACTTTGCCAAAAAAAATTTGGTTACATTTCACAGCTAAACTGAATGTTAAAAATTAATAAACATCTTATTAAGACTCTGGTGTGCACAGTTGTTTAGACTTTGAAAAAAAAAAAATGTTTTCTTCAGTACAGAATAGTGCCCTTTAAAAATGTAAATATACTTTATTTACATACTGTATTGGGAACTGCAACATAGTACATTTTAAAAGCATCTTGGATGTCTACATGGTTTTTGCTTTTTTTAGCATATATGTTTATATATACAGTGCTTTGCGAAAATATTCATACCCCTAAGTTGCTGCCTTATGCAAAGCTGCTTTAAATTTCTTTTTTCCCCACGTCAATCTATACTCCATAAACCATAATGGTAAAACAAAAAACAGGTTTTTAACATCTTTGCAAATTTATTAAAAATAAAAAACTTAAATGATTCCATTGCATAAGTATTCATAGTGGGACAGTTGAAATTTAGCTCAGGAGCTTTCATATTGCTTGTAGATGTTGCTACACTTCGAGTGAAGTTAACCTGTGGCAAATTCAATTGAATGGGTATGATTTGGAAAGGCACACACATCTTAATAAAAGGTCTAATAGCTGATAATGCATATCGGAGCAAAAACCAAGCCCTGAGGTCAAAAGAACTGCCTGTAGAGCTCAGAAACAGGTTTGTGTCAAGCCACACATCTGGGGAAGAGTTAAAAAAAAAAAAATCTGCTTCTTTGAAGGGTCACAGAAGCATGTAGTCTCTGTTACCCTTAATGGAAGAAGTTTGAAACAACCAGGACTCTTCCTAGAGCTGGCCTCCTGGCCAAACTGAGCAATTGATGGGTCTTGGTTAGAATGGTGACCAAGAACCTGATGGTCACCAGTTGAGCTCCATGATCATATATGCAGATGGGAGAAATCTATAGAAGGACAAATATCACTGCAACACTCCACCGATCTTGGCTTTATGTCGGAGTAGCCAGACTATTAACATAAGGCAGCAACATAACAAAATGTGAAAAAATGAATGGGGTATGAATACTTTCGCAAGGCACTGTAAATATATGTATGTATAAGTATTTTGTACCCCATTGACTTTATTCATATAGCTGACTTGCTATAATGCTTGTGTTAACTTATTATAATACCAGACAAGTTATGAGTATTTTATTGTTTTCCACAGGCTGAAGTTTGCTCAGGGACAGTGGCTGAAGTTATTCAATCAGTGGTTAATGGAGCCGATGGATGTATTTTCTGCTTTGGTCATGTCAAAGTTGGTAAGTTATCCTTAATACTTTGCAGTTAACTGAATATGACACCCACTGATCTTGTTCCACAGTTTGCAAAGACACTTTGATGTCTAATCAAAACCGAAGGTAAAAAAAAAAAAGTGCTTTTGCTTTTCAGAATGGACATGAGTGGGGCATTTAATTGTGTGTGTGTGTCTGTATGAGAGACCAGAGGCTAGAGAGTGTAATTAAAAGCTGACTAATGGACCCTCACAGTAGACTGCATCAGAGTTCTGCACTATTGCCAATTATGCTTGTTAGATGTTGCGATGGTTTCCTGCATCATTTACTACATGCGGTCTAAATGTTTAAGCATTATTTATGACTCTTTTAAAGCCAGACTGTCCATATGGAACAGTATTCATCACTAGTTTTTTATTTGTATAATTGATGCTCTAAACCATGGCGTTTCTTTAAAGGGGTCATATGATGCGATTTCAAGTTTTCCTTTCTCTTTGGAGTGTTACAAGCTGATTGTGCATAGATAAGATCCCTGAAGTTGCAAAGACTAAAGTCTCAAAACCAAAGAGATATTCTTTATCAAAGTTAAGACTCTGCCACGCCCCCCCTAAAACGGCTCGTTCTAACATGCCCCCACATATCTACGTCACTATGT